ATTTGTGGTACCGGGGTCTGGGGAAGGAGCCTTGGAATCCGGTTGGGGGCGTTTTGGTCTCATCCCACGCTATGGGGTCTGATCCCGAAACCACACCGACTGGGTAACGTTTGGTACAGTGGGAAGTGTTGCCTAATGTTATCCCCACCCGGGGGCCTTAAGCATTACATCCTCCGTGGCTGACCAACGCCGCCCATCAACACCGTTTGCGTGCCCTGCGCCCCACTCCGCACTCGGATGGACAGGGAGAGATGTGCCGACAGGGTTGCTTTGGATCCCGACGCCCGTGATCCCATAAGCGTTGAAGCAACCTTAGGTGGTCGCTTTATGATCAAGGGTGGGGGTATCTACATCGTATCACTGGGATTGATGATACTCCGCCTCACCCCAAAAGCGTGGCTCACCGAGTCATACAGATGGAAGACTCTGAGGGACCGCCTGAAGTACCGGCTGTATCCGACATGAGCGAACTGCGTCCTCTTTCACTTTAAATATGTGAGAGGGAGCGTGTTTGACTGTGCGTCTCATGACAGGGTCGGTTCCCTCTGGGGACGCCCGTGGGTCGGTACGAATAGAGTCAAAACCCACAGCGGAGACTGGACACAAGGATAAATTCGTTACCGTTGTACCGTTACCGCGTGACGAACCCTAGCTGGCTGAAAGTAGGGGGGGTCAACGTGTGCCCTGCCCTGAAAGCCTGGCCCGAGGTCGGAGGCTTGGCTGCCAGCACCCAGTTGGCATTCAGTGCCTGAGGCTCCAGAGGAGGCCCGGTGCAATTAGCCTGAGCCTCGCCCCCCCCCCAAATAGTGGGAGAGCCGCGACTGGGAACGGGGGTTCCCGGAAGAGACGTGTTTGAATGCAAACACGCTTTCATGTCTCTTCCTGCTTGCCCACCGAGGGGACACAGTGGAGACAGCTCGCTCCGACTGCGTCTGATCTACCCGGCCTGCCAGGGACGCAATTGCCCTGACAGTCCTTCGACCAAAGCCCTCAACTCGGAGGCAAACCCGGTGCCATGCGAGGAAGGGTCCACAAAAGGACTCGCAATGGGCCCCATAGGAGGAAAGCCTCCAGGGGCACAGCCTCACTGCAGCCGGTAAAATCTGGTAAACCACTGCCTGAAAAAACAGACTGTGCGGATGCCCTCCGATCAGCGGGGGAGACCAAGAAAAATATCGGTACCTCCACCATCGGGCCTCTTACTCGACGTCCCAGTACACGAAGTACCGGTAGCCGAGCGCGAGGACTTTTCACTCATGCAAAACACGCAACTCACTTTAACCGATTTGTTTACTGGACGCGCGACCTTGCTGTGACGCGGTCAGTCTCAGCGATTTTGATGGCTCTGAAAGAAAATCTCAGGCCTCAGATCTCCAGTGAAAAAACACACACCTTCACGCAAAAACCCCGAACCCCGCACGTAGCTACGAAAAAGTATCTCGGATGCGGGTTTAATGTTGATAAATTCTGAATATAACCACTGCACGGTCGACTCGAAACACGAGGAGACCGGAAAGAAAACGGCAGCGAGCCCTGGTGCTGTCATTACATCTATATATTGCTAAATACATTGTAAAAAAAAGACAACATGCATGAGGGAAACGAATTACAGTTGTAAAAGGTGCCGCCATGAAACCAACGTGTGGTTACGTAGTGGCGCCGGGTTTTAATTTCTTTGTTGTGGAAAAGCATAACACACAAAGGGGAAAGGGACACGAGGGTAAAAAGACAAGAAAAACTTATCCTACCTTCTAGAATGTCGAATGCAGCAGCTGCGGCGATGACCCACGCTAGAAACCCGGACAGGAAAAGCAACAGAGCCAGGCAGAGCCGCTCAGAATCATTCCCCGATGAGGCGGAGAAAAATGAAGAGTGATTAACGGCTACCTATGGCACTGCCATGTTGCCTCGGTCACGTGGGTTCGTGACGTAAGGGGTAAAAGAATCTTGAGGTCATGGGGCTTCCCCTGACCTAGATTCTATCTCTCTATCACCGGCAGTATCGCTGATTAATGCCTACAGTTCAAAATAGTCATTTTGACTGACCGGAGTCTATGGTGGGTAATTGAACGTAGTGAATTGTTCGTATTACCAGCCACAAAGCTAATGGTGGGCATCTGACTTCTTGTCATTGCTCAAATTATCAAATTTATTGTGGTGAAAATTAAATGGTAACATAGTATATCGACATAAGGATCATGTCAAGAGACTGTAGCACTGCAGACAACAGGGCTCTATTGATCAGATTAAACAGAAACTTACCATCACCTTCAGGACTTGCAACTCTTGGTGGCGGCCGATCATAGGTGTTGCCTTTTCTACTCTTACCAGGAGGCTGAGTTTCACGGACAACTCTTCCTTTATCACCTATCATAGTAGAGAATTCAAAAATATTGAGTATTAGTGATCATAGGCACAAAGTGACTGTAGAGTAGAGTGCTCTGGAGGGCATATCAAAATAAATAATAAATTTAAGCTGTTGACTTACTGTTTGCAACTCCTTTGAAATCGTACGGCGGTAAATCTGTTTTGGAGACTCTTCTTTTCGGTGTTGGAGCTGAGTAACTACTATCATCCTCATCACTATTGTGTTGGGAACGATCAACGAACATGTTAACTCCAGGCTTTAAAGAGCTATAATCAGAAAATAGAGGAGAGTATATAATGTTGAAGAGTCATTATTGCTTTAAAATAGTTGGTCATAAATTTCATGACAATAGTCAGTGGTTAAATACCGTATGTACAATCATTGATGGCAACAAAAATTGTAAGAGTGTAAACTTTTGTTATCAACTTGATTCAAAATGGCTGAAAAAGATAGGTAGCTAAGGCCCAGTGCAGCGAGTATAGTTGCCATTATTTTATTACAGAATACAGGGTATTCTAAACATACCATCATGATAGAACACTATACATCCACTATCATACTCACATAGAAACTTCAATGACATTTACAGTCCAAATAGGAATATTACATTTTCTCAAATATACTCTATTCTAATAATTATATTACAGGTGAATCATTCATCAATCCACAATATCTATATAGAATAGCAAGACAGACTTTACATGTTGTGTTATAATCCCACTCAAGTATTTTACAAGAGGTTGACCTTTTGTCGTCTGGTTTCTATGGTCACATGACATCAGGCTATATATTTGATTGGTTATTGTCAACCAACAACCTGTATCATGTTGCAAGAAATAAGGCATGTCTCTATTTCAATGAACTTGTTGATACTTGGTCATGGTGGCAACTATTATTGCCTTTACAGTGCTGTATTTTGAGAAAATTGTACTAATATTTTTTTCAAAACAAAACATATGAATATAAATATTACCGGTATACAAGAGGTATGTATATACCCTGCATAAGATTCATATACAAATATATACAAAATGCAGATTCCCAATTTTATATAATAGATAACTTTTTATCACACTGGAAATATGTTATTATAAAATTAAATGGAGCTTTCAAAAAATTGAAATATTAAGATTCATATCAGTGAGAACATCCCATGTCACTGAGCAAAATTTCAAGATAGGAAAAAATTATTTTGCAATAGAAACCAGCGCAAAAGCGGAAATTTCAATGATTTTCTACGACATTTCATGACAATGTGAAGAAGCCATATAATTTTCAATCAATTCATTTTTCATAATATTTTATCTCATTTTTTTTCAATTTAATGGTGGCAAATAATGAACTATGATATCACAAAATCAGTTTGGTATTGCTTACTCACTTTTTCAAACTTAGCGCCGGTGATGTTTTTGTTGGTGTTCTTCCTCCTTGAGGCGTAAGTCCACCTTGAGCCTTGATGAATTTTTCAGGTCTCAATTTATTATCACTATTAACTCCTACCAAAGAGAATAAAGAAGTCACAAACTATAGTAATGAATCAGGATGTTGACAGACATGATATAATACAAAATTCTAACAAAATCTAACTCTTATCTGAAGTGCATAGGGCTTACTTGCAGCCGGGGTTGGTTTCATATTGATGGGTGACCTCTTAACTGACTCCCTGTCATCTTCCTCAGATGATGATGTATCAATTCTTGGTCCTGCATCATCTTCTGGTTCAGAGCTATCCCAGTTACTGCTACTTTCAGGTGAGATTGGACGGTTACGAGAATTGTGAGCAGCAATCTAAATACATTGTAACATACAGACAAACAGCATTGTATTTTAAAAGAAATGCAACTGTGATAATTTTCGTTATACAATTATTTTTTAAGTTGACTACTTACGTAACTACTTACAAGACAAGATAGAATCGTTTCAGATTATAGAATTTATGCATGTGCTTTACTATTAATTTTTATAATTTTTTGAAAATCACCAATCCAGAGGCGAATATTCAAAAGCATTGACCGCCATTTCTAGTATTATTATGTATTATTATACATCTGTCACCATATCACCATAAGTTACAGCGTGCCGTAATTTTGTGGTATTTTATGGGGTGTTTTCATCCTACCATATTAGGAAATGTGAATTCCAAATATGGAATGATTATGCACATAAGCAACCTCTAATAATAAAAACAAACATGGCTGCCACCAGGATTTGACCGTACTCCACACAAAGAAGTTCGCTGATTCTGTTCTTAACAGTTTGAATTTCGGCATTACCATGATGTATCCTTGGAAGGAAGAGATGTATAATAATAAGGTTAATACGAGGATACCTCAAACTATGCACTCAGATAGTACACCATGCATCGACCTCTGCTGCGCATTGATCGATAATCCAGCTGTACTGTCTTCGTGCATACTTTGAGGTATTCTCGTAATAACCTCATACTATCTTACAGTATTTATCAATACCAGTGGATTTTATGACATTATTGCTGCAGATTATTCGTGATATAATATATCCTATTATTGAGATCAAGGCACCCTACCATGAATATGAATACAATGTTGTTTTCGGAAATGAATAAAGGGGAAGAGCAATTGTAACAAGTGGTTAATACATTATTGTCTTTTCTGTGTGCTAAAGCATGATCTTGTTTGGATTTGAATTTAAATTCATACATATTTATAAAAATAAAATTACCATAAAGCACATTTATTGGCAATTGTATATTTCTTTTTTACAAGCATAAAGAAACAAAAATTTCAGGTCACCCAGATGTGATCACTAGTGTGGACAAATGTAACTTTGAAATGAAGAGCTTAGTGGTGTCCAATCAGCAATTATACAGAGACAAAAGTATAAACGAGCATCCTCGTGGCATTAATCACAACTTTTGAACTTGAATCTTACATTTATGAATATTTACAAAATTTACAGTTAACAACATTCCTAAGTAATTCAAAATGAGTGTACACTGATGTCAACTAAGGCATTTATGATTTACATTATTTTTAAACCAAAATATTGATTGACTCAAATGCCAGTTACATAATTCACATTTCTGTCATTTGAGGGCGCTCCATGCATATGCACATATAAACAGAAGTAATAAACTGAAGGCTGGTAACAAAGTGATTGTAAATGGTTGTATGAAAATCGAGTAAAATATATGATTTATATATAATAGGCCAGTTGTAAGATATTTTGTATTTTGAGGTATGAAATTTGGTAGGGTAAAAAAAAATTATGTGCATGTTTTGTTTTGCCCCTTGTAATTAGACTGATCGGCCACAAACATGTATTTTTTTAGTTTATGGAGCCTAGATGATTAAATTTAATCATATATATATGCTTGCACTACAATTTATATAATTGTTTCAATTCTATAATTTCTATTATTTTGAGCAAGGATAAGGCCCTGTATCAGGACATAGTGAGTCCGACCAATATACATCCATGTATTGACTTCACCAACCAACCACACAAATAGTTCATCAGGCCCCTGTGAATCTGACACAGTTGCATTTATGTGTAAGAGCTTTATGGAAAGGAGGTGTGTACCGAACTAAGCCAATTCAATCTCCTTGTTTTAAATTGAATCAGATTGACTTCAAATGAAAACAGTTGGGTTTATATAAATATGCCTTTGTTGACTTCAGTGTGGAATGAAAGAAAAAACGCTGTACCATACTAGTAGGTCATAAACATATTCATAAAAATAAATACATCTATCATCAGCTTTCATCCAAATTTAATAGTGATTGGCTCAAAGGTTCAACATTGGCTACGCCCATAGTTTGCATGCATGCTTTCATGCGACATATCATCTGTGGCTGTAAACTTTAATATTCAAATTGAAGTGTCTGCTGATTGAATGATGTTGAACCATAGATGGTTGAAAACTCATTAATATTATGAAAACATGATGTCACAATAGCATTCCTGGATTGGTCAGTTAGAATTCTATCATTTTTTTAAATAAAAATTTATATTTACAAAACGTTTTTAACGTCCTCAGCTTTCCGCCTTCACTGTATCAAATGCAATACACAGAGATAAATATCTTATATCAAAAAGGCGTCATATGAACACTGAACCAAAAAGACCGGTAAAAGGAACACGTGCATGTTAAATTTACAACCATAAACGTTTTCTGTTGCACCATGGACGTCCATGTACGTAGTACGTTCATGATTGCACCATATGGCCGTGACATGCTATCAAACGGATAAACCGGTGACCGTGAAAAAAAATGTAATGTTACCGAAAATCCAATGACTATATCAGTCTGAATGATTCCACATAAATTGTACTCTGCGCAAGTAGTAAGTGAGAAAGTATTCAGTTTTAGCACAAAGTGTGGGGAATGGACGCCGACAATGTCAGTTACTAAAGCCCAACAATAACAAATCAGTCAAGAAAGCGTCATTGGATACGCGGTATGCGAGAAAAAAATACCTGTATTATCGGTTAAAGACTGAATAAAGATATCATTCAACTAAGTTGAAGCCAATTCAAAAGAACAACAGTCTCAAAATTTACATCGCGAGAACCTATATCACACGACAATTGTATTTTCTGGAAAATCTTACCATTTTTTTAGCGTCAAGTTTGAACTTCTGCGCCGCCATCTTGGCATTTACAGTGAACGAAAACGAGGTTTGTCGCAGGCGATTGTGTGTTTGTTTGTTAGTATGCGTATTTTACTCCACTTCATTCTTTTGGGTGCAAGTGGTAGATTTGATGTTAGTGGAGAATTTTTTTTGAAAAATAATTATACAGGGAAAATTACAGAAAAAAACAAAATACAGCGCATCTCATCCTGTAAAAAATCCAGAACAAAAATATAGTGATTGAAAAAATGTTCAATGTTTTTTCTTCTTTAGACTTTCTAAGATCAACCCCTAAGTGTTTCCCGACTCGTGTGTTCTACCAAAGACACCAGTGTCTTTGGTTCTACACTCCGTGTTTTTTATTTATTTGTTGCAACCCTTTTAAATCAGGGGCAGCAAAACACGCGTCTGAAATACAAATAATCGCATAAAGATGATTCAACAGGTATTTAAAAATTGCACATATAATTTTCTGCGTTCAACTGTATCCATGAGGAAATGTTTAAAATTGCTATTCAACATTGTAGCCTGGAGATCACATATAATGGTGCAAAGTTTCCCTATAATCCCCACTTTAGGTATTAGGTATTTCAATCGTACGCGTATCATACGTGAATCAGACCGTACTGTGTATTTTTTCCAAGTAAAATCATATTCATTAAAGTTATTGTTCATACAGTGTTGTTGAACAAACTACATGGTTTGTAATTTCATCCAGCTTCTTTCAGTAATGATTCAAGGCAAATAAAATGCAGAAATATAAAGAATATAACTGATTATCTTTTTGTCAATAATATTCTTGTGTAATTGTTTTATTCTCAGAGTCCCATCTCCGGGGAACTTGGGGGGTCGAGACCAGTCCTCTGGCCGTTTGAGCGAAACTATTCTGTTCACGCGTGTCTTTTTTTCAACAGTGGGATAAAAATTAAAGGGCGGCAGTCGTCGTGTCGCGTCCTTTTCGATATAAGACTCATAGCGACGTATACAACGCGTGTAAAATACATTGTTTATTTACATGAAATTCGAACACGCGCTGTGCGACGACCACCGCCCTTTAAACTCCGTTTAGGGCAAACCATGCGTTTTGCTGCACGTGTAAATACAGCAATGATCCTTGAATGAAAAAGCCACCAATACTCCACGTCAACATGAAAAAGTTTTATTTATGTTGCAAATAATATGTAACAATTTCAAGAAATCCAGAGTTACTGAAACAGCTGTAATGCACACACACATTGAGCTCAATTTACATAATAGGGACTATTCACTAAAGTCAAACAATTTCATCTGAAGAATGTCCACATAGAGACATTTTTATAATTTGTTCGTGACCTTTGATCAAATAAGTTGTGAAGAATAGGTAATATTTTGTTGTTATATATTTACAGTTCTATTTACGCCAATCAAAATAAAATATTCATTTTATCTATTTTTCAAATTAAAATAAAACATGTCCTAGCGACTTGGTGAGCATATGTGGTTAAGAAGTACCCGCAGAATTATCCGCCGTTTCACACGTGTTAGTTTAGTCATCTTTTCGCTGTACATGTACATTAAACGGTACTGTCACGTGACCCGCCATCACATGTACCCCAGTGATAGACAAACTGTTCAGCGTACCTATATTGATAATGTGTTTATTCTGTGGAACATTAAAGACACTCGTCTCCCATGTTGTGGTAAGTTTATATTTGTCTTATGATTGTTGTATTAAGCCCGTCCGGATTGCAAGTAGTTTAACAACTATGTTTTAATCAGGATAGGATCAAACTTTGAGGGACAAAGAATATGTTTCATTGGAGGACCAATGTTTACTTTCAGATTACACAAATATAAACTCTACTAGAAAAATCCAAAAATTAATGCCAATGCGAGTAGTAGTGTGTTCACACTAGAAAAACTCACGTCGGAGTAAGTTGAGCCGGTATTACAAAAATAACAACCTGGTAATTCTGAGTTCACACCATCGTTCTTACAAGAGGCACAAATATAGTGGTCATTGTATAATCAGCGTAATAACGCCGACTTGTAGATAGGCAATGTTTTGGTTCACCATAGATATTTTGCTTTTGTGTACTTCAATCGAGCAATACTAGTTATTCAATTGTTAACCGACTTACATCGACGTATTTTTCTAGTCAGAACACGATATATGTTGATCGATTTTTGTTATAATACATGCATGTCGTATTATTATATTTCCATAAATAATGTATTTAAGCTTTTAAAACTCCATGGTACATTTTAAAAAAATTGTCTGTATTTTTCAATAATTCCTTCATTCACTTTGAACCAGGTGGACAATATTTAATTATTGGCTATAAGGTCTCAATACAAATTTTGAAAAAAAAAATGAATACAACTTTACAAACACATACAAATTTAGTTGTAAATGAATATTTATGCTTTTTGTCGAATAATTGTTAAGAGATAATTGAAAGCAAACTAGGCTGTAACCGATTAATATAAAAATTTAGTTAGACATTCTTTTATACCCTGGGTACATTTATGCATAGTTTTGTATGAATGACCCGCAGAAAAAAAATGTCCAATGAATGTTATTGCATTCGATTATAACCGTGAATGTGAGTTACGACGACGTCTATCATGCAGCAATTCGGACCAATCCCTCGAGTACATGTTTCCATGGTAACGAGACAAGTCGGATGAACCGGAACATTCCTTACCATCCCGTTAGTCGTAAAACCAATGACATTTATTTTCTGTATGTATGTGTGTGTGTATTTATTTATTTATTTATTTATTTATTTATTGATACCCACGTGAAAACACACGTGGTCAGCATATATAATCAAGAGCTAACCAATGAACGCATACTTCGATCGCAAACATCCGGAACCTCGGATATAGATAGGCTTTGGTGGTAGTTACAGACTGACAGCTGATTAATTACTTATACATCGGTGAACGTTGTAGGTGGTACGGTTATAGCCATAACCGCTGCTAACGTAGTTTCCGTACGGATACCAGCATAATTCCCGTCGATGTCAACCGCGGCGCTGCTGTAATACACGTTTGTTGAAACATTCCCGGGCAAAGTAAGGTACGGTGGTTCCCGTGTTTAATATGCTCGTTTACCGTTTTGCGTGACAACTGTTTTGTTTTATATCCATCGTCTTGGTTCCCGTGGTGTTTCTGGTAACATATTAGAATCCTGAATATGATAGTTTTGGGTTTTGTGGTTTATATTAGTTCCATACAGGTACAGAAGCGTTTGGATTGTTGATATAGTTACTTAATTATCACATTGATTATATTGCCTTATTAGCCATGTTAGTAGATTTCCCATGTGTGTCATATACTAGTACCCAAATCCCCCTTAATCATTCAGTATACATGAATGTCACTTATCACTACAGGTAACACATACTAACGTCATCTTTCACCAATTTGGAATCGCGCCGACTGGTTGTATTCATTACTATCATGTCTGCGCCTTTTTGTGATAAAAATATCTTAACATCTCTTTATTAGTTATTCTCCCAAGATATTACTCAGTTTTTGGGCGGGGGGGGGGGTGATAATTTTACGATGTTGGAATTTATCCTCTGGCAACGTATTGGAATGTTAGGTCCGTACAAATACACCATATGCTATATAATAAGTACACTTGCGTTAATAGTGGTTTATTTGAAGACGTCGCTCACAAATATGTGTCATCACACAATAAATATTGTAAATATTATCACGTTTTCTGAACATGTATAATTTATGTCTAATTCATCAGTACATCAATTATGCAAATTTAATCATCCACATTAATTGCCAATGGTTACAACCGGGATATAAGATAGTGGTTACCTATAGGCAGTGCGTAATTTGTTTCGGCTGTCATGCCCGCATCCAGATGAGACAATTCGCGCTTCAACGCACATGAGTATCGTTAACCATCGTTTAATTATGTAATTTGCTTGACAGACTGGGCATGGGTTTTTTTTCTAGTATTATAAAACACGAAAATGTAATCACAGTAGGTGGAATGCGTGCTTTGACGTATTCATAGCAACAAGAAAATTGAGAATACAAATTCTACTAAAAAATCTACTGAGTAGATCCATTTTAATGATTCTTCTCAGCACGTATTAATGTTCTCATAAATTATTGTTATTGTATCAGTAGTAGAAAAAACAGCACTGTATATACATATTTAGCATTCACAATACTGCACCAAAGGCTGTAGTTTTTTCATATTTTTTCCCGAAAATGACCAATACCTGTAGGCAATGAACTTGTACTTGATATTTGTAAGAGTTTCGATCGTACGCTTGTTTATGGGTTAACGTCCTCGTTGTCACGTGACAATCGTTATCACAAAGATGTCTCCCGGACCATGCAGGACATTATTTGAGAATTGACTTTATTTGCATTTATCATTTTGTATAATTGGCTAACAGTTTCGGGTGGATAGATGATAACATTGGTTTCTATACCGGAAATTGCAAACTGTTTTCAGATCACAGATTCGTTGGTATTGTATATTTACACTTTGTATACGATGCACGGGACCCCCTATGCGACACGACGCGACGATCACCGCCATCTACCTGATGAATTATGTGAAGATCAGATATTTATTTTAACCACGGTTACTATGGTGAAGAACGGTTAAAACTCTCTCGGTTCGTTTGTTAGAATGCGTGTCTCTGTAAACATTAACACAAAGGTGAATTAGTATATTGCCGACGTTTCGGCGATCGTAATTTGCATAAAAATTACATATTCGTTCGAAGACAATTCCATCGATTTGGGTTTTCGGTATGATGTTTTTTTTTTCAACAAATTTTCACGATTTATACAGCATTGCGGTCAGAAAAAAACAACCGTGCTTTAACCAAAATATTATCGATTGCCTATTTATAGAACCTACAAACTTTGGAACAACTTGCCTAACGTAATTACAATTAATTATATAAATTACTGTCACATGAATAGAGATACACATGCCATACCGACCGGTTACTTTTATTCTATTAATTAAAAATATTGTTATGGAAAAACAACTT